GTGGTAAAAATAGAGCTGTACAGTCTGTCCATGTGTCTTATCTGTGACATTGCACACAATCATGCTATTTGTACATATTGTACATTTCAGACGAAAGCATATAACTAATCCTTGGTTTCAGTTCTTCAAATAGAAATTTGTTAAGTTAAGCATTTATTTATATTTGGTGAACTGTAGGCTATATGTTACATAGTATGTTAAAGTTACATGAATTTCACATTTTAGCCCTAAGCCCTTCAAAAAAAATATAAATATATAATATCATATCATATAATTTTCTCCTTTTTCTCCATTTTCTCTTTCCTGTCTATGCAGTTTTTAGACACCAGTGTCTTTTGTGAGATCCTGAATTTTTATTAGGCAACATCAAGTGAAACACAGCAGACATAATAACCATTGGTGGGTTTGATTTCAAGCCTGGCTATTTATGAGCCAAATTCTAGCACCAACTTAATGGAACTCATCCTGTTGTGCAAATGCAGGAATGCTGTGACTGAGTGAGCTACTGAGAAGAAAGGGTTGACGGGACTGAGGCAAGAATGTTTGATCATTAAAAATAAGACAAGAAAGAAGAACATACAATACTGTTACTCATTGGTTGTATGTTGCTACAATGTTGACTTACTGTAGCTGACCCACTGGCCTAAGAAGTGTTATGTATTGAATAAAACTCATCCTCCATCCTTAAATCTAGGCAGAAATTGAATATGAAACACATATATTTCCTCATGTATGAGTAGAAATAATATAAAAACCTACCTACATTTACATAGTATTTGCAGTTAAGTTAAGCAGCAGTTTGATGTTTCCAGCTCTGATGGTGACTTCCCAGTTAGATTATAAAGGTTATTACTGTAAGTTCTTATTTGCATTCTCAATTTCTATTTTAGTTGTGATTTTACTGATCATCAGATAACTAAAATGTTTGCTTTCTTGGTCTGCAGGCACTTTGAAAACAATTATGTATTTATTGATAATACAATTTTGAATCATCAGCTATACGCAATAATGAAATATTGTGAAGACATGTTTTGAATGCCAAACTCCAGTGTTGTGTTGGAGAACTGACATGTCCTGAAATGTACAAATAAACCTGGCCATGTGGGAACACGTTGCGTGGTGAAGCATTAAAAATGACAAATGAGCCATATCTGATAGAGGTTTTTGAATGTGTTGTGTATTTATCTGTGATCTGATCGTCTACATGTTTCGCACAACGAATGCGTCTGATTTTCTGTACATGCAGGAAACAACAAGAGCTGCTCAGCAGGATGCTTCACATTGTTTGGCTCTGACGTGAAACCAACATCACATGAAAATCAACATACACAAAAACTGCTGCCAGTCAGTTAATCTATTTAACTATACAGTCTTTGTTCTTGTGGCCTATATGTCACAGTTCAATACATGTGTGCAATGACAGCATTGCAGGACAGAGGTGACAGAACAGTTGGAATTACACCGGTTGGAAAGATGGCGAGAGAAGAGTGTAGGTTAACATCATAGATATGTACATACAGATATATACATGTATGTATGTATGTATCCAAACACAAAATATATAAATATATACATAATTATACATATATACATATAGATATATCATTTGCTATATACACTACATATACATAATACAATAAAATAGATATTTATATACACAAATGTATATTAAAGCAAAAGAGATAAAAAAAACAAATAACAAATTACAGAGCACATCTGATACTTAATAATCACTTAATGACATACATACATCAATAATACACTAATTTTATGCATCATCCATGACGATAAAGATACAGAAAAATAGAAAGTATGGCAAAAATAGCATATTGTCAGTATTTTTAGTATTACATTTACATTTTGGGAGGTCTTTAACAATTAGTTTCATAAATCGTGTTTTCAGGGGAGCTCATATTTTATTCCCGGTAGTTCGCACCTGTTTATAGTACTGTTTATTACTTACTTACATAAAACACCAGATCACAGTTTTAAACAATATAATGAGGAATCATCATTCACTGAAAAGCACTTGCTTAGGTTTACGATTAAATATCAGACAATAAGAAATAAGGTAATTTATTTGAAAACTTGACACTGTTCCTACTTTCTTATTCTTATTATTATTAATACTAATAAAACTAAGACTGTTGAATGAATAAACTTTATTACTTATTATAATTTACTCCAGTATTGCACTTTTGATGTTGCCGGGTTATACTTTGTCTTTGAACACATTTCAAAGACAAACATTGTACGCACTGTTAACTTTCATTGTGTTAGTTTTCAATTATAGATTCAGATCAAAGTCATGTTAATGAAAAGCCTTTACCTTTTGCCCATATACTTTACTTTCATACTATATATTATGGCTCTTTAATTACAACTAATTACTACTTTTATTTTATTCTCGAATCTCAGGTTGTTGAATTCCCATAACTGGCCCTAATAATCATAATTCATACGGTTTGATTTTACAATTTTCCTACCGCCATTACATTTTATTGTGTGCAACATCTATAGTGAAAGCAGTGGTTCAAGAAGTATGTAGATCATTTAATTGAGTTTAGGTAAATACCAAAATTAAATATACTATAGATTTTACTTAAATAGGGGACAGAATTTTTATCAGCGAAGCATAGGTACATTACTGCAGGGCAAAAATGTGCAAAAGATGACTCAGTCATGTTTTTGGGGCTGCCTCAGTCCAAAACACAGGAGATAAAGCACACATGTAGACTTCGCAGGGGTGTGACGTCACAGTTCCTGATTGCGACCTTCACTGCGAATGTTGCACCACACGCATTTTACTTCCTTGTTGTCTAGCAGAGCC